AATTGAACTTGGGAACTTATTTGCTTGAGTTACTTTCTTATTTTCTTCCTTCTTTCATGTTCTTTGTTTTTGTTTTTGTTTTGTGTAGGAAAACTGAATTGGATCATTCAATCACCAATCCCTGTGGAATCGACCTCGCACTTACATACGCTAAAGTTCCAACGGTTCGTGCACTTGCGAGTATCACAAGTTGAGGATGCAGCTTAATCCATTTTGGTGGAGCTAAATCTACACAACAACACCTCCTCATCAAACATACGCGCTGCACTCCTAATGATCGCCCACCGAGCTTGGAGGATACCAAAGCATCTCTTCACATCTTTTCTGTATTTTTCTTGATATAAGACAAATAATTTTTGCTTCTAGGTTCGGGGATGTGGAAGTGTTTTCACAAATTGTTGTCCACCTCGGGTAGATGCCGTCAGCTAGATAATACCCAGTCTGGTAGACGGTATTGTTGATTTCATAGGTGATTTGCGGGGCTTCTCCTCTCAAAACATCGTTGAACACCAGGGATTGACCTTGGACGTTCAAGTCATTTTGAGATCCAGCAACTCCAAAGAAGGCGTGCCAAACCCATGTATCGAATCCTGCAATGGCTTCAAGGATGATGCTTTTTTGGCCTTTCCGATTCCCATAATCGCATTGCCAAGCAGTTGGGCAATTCTTCCATTGCCAGTGCATGCAGTCGATGCTACCAATCATTCCTGAAAATCCTCTAACTTCGGCTTTCTGTAGAAGTCGTTGCAAGTCCCTGGGCGTAGGTCTGCGCAGGTAGTCCCTGGTGTACAGAGTTTCGACTGCATCACAAAATCTAACCAAACACTCCAAAGTAGTGGACTTCCCCATCCGGGAAATCTCATCCACTTGATCAGCAGATGCACCATACGCCAACATTCGTATAGTAGCTGTGAACTTTTGTTCGGGAAGCAGTCCCAAAACACCAGCACAATTTCTCTTTTGAACAAAGTATTCATCATAATTGCATATATCATGCATGACTTTATTGAACAAATGTTGCATTCTATATTGCCCTCGAAAATGAACATTAGAAGTTGGGAAAAAAAATCTTCCATAAGATTCTTACCCCGAGAATGCCTATGTCTGTCAACATTCGGGCCACGGCCTTCATGTGAACCACGATTGCTCTGGTTTTCTTCATCAAGCAAAGCCACAGCCATGACAATTTGCTGATCTAGTTCTCTCTGCACTCTTTTGCTTGCAGCTCATCTACGCCTTCTTTCTCTTATTTCTCGTTCTTGTCTCTCCAAGACCTCCTCCATGTCTGCCATTGAGAATGGAATATGGAATCTGAAATCTAAAATCTGAGAAATGAAATTTTTTAGAAGATGTCATGTGAGAGGTTTGTGAGCTGAGCCTTAGTTTTATAGAAAAATTTAGGTCGATAGACATGACACGTGGCACAATTTTATAGGTTGAAAATCTTATCCGAAATTTGAAATTCAGATGAAATTTATGTGTTCATCTAAAATGTGAAATTCAAATGAAATTTATCTAAAATTTGACATTCCTATGACACGTGGCGGAATTTTATTGGGTGAAAATCTTATCCGAAATTTGAAATTCAGATGAAATTTATATGAAATTTTAAATTCAAATGAAATTTATCTGAAATTTAAAATTTGAAATTTGAAATTTATCTGAAATTTGAAACCGACAATCTTATCTGAAAATCTTATCCAAATATTTTATCAGAAAATCTCATCCGAAAATACTGTCCAAATTAATTGTTTAGGTAAACAAATTTGTGAAAAAAACAAAAAATTGAATAGTACTTGCCCTTTACCATGGCAATTGCTGAAAGTGCAACTCACTTTTTGCAAGGGCAGACACTATTCACATGAATAGTGTCAGCCCTAGCTCCCCCCCTTGCCATGACTAGGGTTTCATTGCTGGAAGTGCCCTAAGGAAGGGAATGAGGCATTCTCTGTGGATCAAGCAAAAGCCATGATTTTTCTCAGACGCCACATCCATGAAGGATTGAAATGTGAATACCTTACAGTCAAGGATCTGTTTGCCCTTTGGGGAAATATCAAGGAAAGATATGACCATCAGAGGACAATTATTCTTCCTAAGCCTCGCCATGATTGGATGCACTTGTGTCTACAAGATTTCAAATCAGTGGCTGACTACAATTAGGCATTGGGCACGTGTATACCGCACGCCAAAACATTTGGTTGATCTTTACCAACCCTCAATCAAGGGCAAAGGAAAAAAGGTTGAGACATTTTGGATGGATGTTGATCCAACAGAGTCAACCAGTGGATGTAACCTACCTTGATGTTTCAGACTTCTTCGTTGATACTGATGGCAAATCTTTTGATCCTATGATTAGTGGCATGGAATGACGAAGATATTTGTCTTGCGGATAATGCAACTACGCACACAATTCTTCGAGATAAAAAATATTTTGACAATTTACATTTGTCAAAAGCAAAGGTAACTACCATACTAGGTTCTGCAAACCTAATTGACAGCTCTAGAAGAGCTCAAATTTTGTTACCCAATGGGACTCAATTCTCCATTAATAATGCTTTGTACTCCTTGAGATCGAGCAGAAATTTACTCCGTTTTAAAGACATTCGAATGAACGGATACCATATTGAAACTAAAAAGGATCGCAATGTGGAGTATCTTTGCATTACCACCAATATCAACTGCCAAATGCGTATATTGGAAACACTTCCTGCTTTCTCTTATGGGTTGTATTATACAACCATCAAAGCAGTTGAAATCTATGCTGTCATGAACCAGAAGTTCATTGACCCAACAACTTTTATGCTTTGGCATGATGTCTTGGGCATCATGGATCTACAATGATGCATAGGATTATTTCAAATTGAAATGGACATCCTTTAAAGCCTTACCATAGTGCTTTGTCCATTGACCAGTCTTGCCAAGGGAAATTAATCATCAAACCATCTCAGTCAAAACTTGGTTTTGAATGTCCATCTTTCTTACAAAGAGTTCAAAGGGATATTTGTGGGCTAATTCACTCATATTTTGGACCATTTCGTTAATTTATGGTTTTAATTGATGCATTGACAAGATGGTCACACGTTTGCCTATTGTCAACTCGTAATGTTGCTTTTGCTAGGCTCCTTGCTCAGATAATTCAATTACGAGCACAGTTCCCTGATTATCCAATAAAGTCAATTCAACTTAATAACACTGGTGAGTTTATCTCCCAAAATTTTGATGCCTATTGCATGTCACTTGGTATTGATATTGAGCACCCAGTTCCCCACGTCCATACTCAAAATGGTTTAGCACAAGCTTTTATTAAGCGTCTGCAGTTTATTGCTTGCACTTTGCTATTGAAGACAAAGTTTCCAATTTCTACTTGGGGACATGCAATTTTACATGGAGCATCTTTAGTCCGCTTGAGGCCTGTTGCTCACCATCAATTCTCCCATTTACAACTAGCCTTTGGGAGACAACCCAATATATCACATTTCAGGGTTTTGGTTGTGCAGTTTATGCACCAATTACACCCCCACAATGCATTAAAATGGGTCCTCAATGTCAATTGGGAATTTACATTAGTTTTGATTCACCAACTATCATTCGATATCTCGACCCTATGACAGGAGATACTTTTACTACACACTTTGCGGATTGTCACTATGATAAAACATTCTTCCCGCCGTTAGGGGGAGAAAAGACCGTTCCTGAAGAATGGCGTGAATTGGGATGGAACATATCCATTATGTCTCATCTTGACCCTCATACAACACAAAGTGAAAATGAAGTACAAATGATTGTCCAACTTCAGTAAATTGCTAATAAAATGCCAGATGCATTCACTGATATTAGAAAAGTGACAAAATCACATATACTTGCAGCAAATACACAAGCAAGGATTAATATCCCAATCGGATTAACCAATGTTGTAGCAAATGAATCATCTACTGCACGCCTGAAGCGAGGTAGACCCATTGGTTTAAAGCATATTCCAATCCCAACGAAAACGCCTATGAAGATATTATTGGGAAAGAGATTCACCTTGAACCTACAATTCATCCAGAGAATGAAAGTGTCATTGAAAAGGCACAAGCCACTAAAAAGGAAAAGATACCTAATATAGAAATTTCTGTAAATTTCGCATGCAATGATGAATTGTGGGACCGTATTGAAATGGTTATCGATGATATTTTCACTTTCGCAGTATCTGCTGAAATTATAAAAGGTCATGAAGATATTGAACCATAATCTGTTGATGAATGCAAAGAGAGCTCTGATTGGCCAAAGTGGAAATAGGCAATCTAAGTTGAGTTAAATTCCTTGGGAAAACGTGATGTATTTGGACCTATGGTTCAAATGCCACAAGATGTAAAACCAATGGGATATAAATGGGTGTTCACAAGAAAGCATAATGAGAAAAATGAGATTGCAAGGTATAAGGCACGACTCGTTGCGCAAGGCTTTTCTCAAAGGCCTGGGATTGATTATGAATAAACATATTCTCCTATTATGGATGCAATTGCATTATGTTATTTAACAAGTCTTGCAATTTCAGAAAAACTTAACATGCGTCTTATGAACGTTGTTACTGCATACTTGTATGGGGAGTTAGATGCTAATATTTATATGAAAGTCTTCAAGTTGGCAGAATCAAACACTAAATCACGGAACATGTACTCTGGATGAATGTGGTGCACCCGTCTTAGTGAGTATTTGATTAAGGAAGGCTACATCAATGATCCCATATGCCCTTGTGTTTTTATAAAGAAATCAAATTCTGCATTTGCAATCGTAGTAGTGTATGTCGACGACATGAACTTAATTGGAACTCCTAAAGAGATCATTAAAATTGTTGAATATGTAAAGCGTGAATTTGAGATGAAAGGCCTTGGAAAAACTAAATATTGTCTTGGCTTGTAGATTGAGAATCATCCCAACGGTATTCTTGTCCATCAATCAGCTTACACTGAAAAAAATTTGAAGCAATTTTATATGGATAATGCCCACTCGTTGAGCACTCCAATGGTACCTCTTCCTTAGACATAAATAAAGGTTCATTCCGTCCTAAAGAGGATGATGAAATGATACTTGGTCCAGAAGTACCATATCTTAGTGCGATAGGTGCTTTATTATATTTAGCCCAATGTACTAGGACATATATTGCATTTCCAGTAAATTTATTAGTCAGATATAGCTAAGCTCCAACACGTAGACACTGGAATGGTATAAAGCATATCTTGCGCTACCTTCGAACAACTGATATTGGCCTATTTTATTCGAACGAACCTTCCAATGGTCCAAATCTTGTTGGATACGAGGATTCTTGGTATCTCTTCGATTCACATAAGGGTCGCTCCCAAACTGTTTATGTGTTTACTTGTGGAAATACAGCGATCTCATGGTGATCTACCAAACAAACTTTGGTTGCTACCTCTTCTAATCATGCAGAAATTCTTGCGCTCCATGAGGCCAATAGAGAATGTGTTTGGTTAAGATCCCTAGTTCATCATATTCGGAAAACATGTGATCTTTCTTCAACAACAAAAGCTTCGACCATAATGTATGAAGACAATGCTACATGTATAGCTTCAATTAAAGAAGGGTTTATCAAGGGTGACAGAACCAAACATATACCACCAAAGTTCTTCTACTCACATGCGCTTCAGAAGAATCAAGAGATTGAAGTCAAACAAATTCGTTCCCAAGATAACTTGGCAGACCTCTTCACCAAAGCTCTTCCGAAGTCTATATTTCAGAAGTTGGTATATGGTATCGGGATGCGACGACTTTACAAGCAATTAGACTATTGAATATCAGGGGGAGATATCAATCAAGGAAACTCCTCAATTTTACTACATCGAATGTATGTGCAATGTACTCTTTTTTCCTTCGATCAGGATTTTGTCCCATGT